AGTCAACACTCTCGGCTCCAGTAGCTAGGATATTAAAAGGCATATTGCAATGGGAAAGTCTGCTGCTAGGGACCTCTCCAAAGAACTGAAGAGCAATGGTGTCTCTCTGGAGATAAGGTGCATCTGATACAGGATATGGTCTTTGCTATCATTTGTTATGTGTCAGAGAGTTGGACAATGACTAAGGAGGATAGAAGGTGAATTGATGCCTTTGAGCTGTTGTGCTGGAGAAGAGTATTGAGGGTACCATGGACTGCTAGGAAAACAAACAGATTCATCCTGGAAAGGGTTAAACTGGGTGGCTCCCTGAAGGCAAGGATTCTGAGGCTCCATCTAACATACTTTGGTCGTGTTGTAAGGAGGGACCAGTCCTTGGAGAGGGACATCATGATTGGTAGGGTGGAGGGACAGTGCAGGTGGGGAAGGCCCTCTATGAGGTGGATTGATTCAGTGACTGGAGTAATCGGTATGGGAGTGTCAGAGACAGTGTGATTGGCACGGGACAGAGCAGAATTTAGGGCTGTTGTCCATAGGGTTGCTATGAGTCACAAGCGACTCGACGTCACATAACAACAACAATGTGTGTGTGTGTGTGTGTGTGTGTGTGTTTCTCTGTGACATCTTTTATCTCACAAGAGATAAAAGGAGAGAAAAGTGAGCAGAGAAAGAAGAACCTACTACCACCAAGAAAGAAAATCAGGGAGCAGACTGTGTCTTTTGGACCCAGGGTCAGTTCACCTCCTACTGCCAATGGAAGATTGGTACCAGGACACATGATTTCCATGGGATATTAGACCCTCAAAAAGGAGACAAGGATTTTCCTCCAGAATTAATACAGAAAGAAAACCTTATCCTAGAACCAGTGTCCTAAATTTGTCATTCTAGCTATCCAAACTGGGAAAAATAAATGTATGTTTGTTAAAGCCATTCCCTTGTGGCATTTCTGGTATAGCTGCGTTAGACAACTAAGACAAAATTTGGTACTGAGAATGAAAAGATTCCTAAAATATTGAAGCAGTCCTGAATTGGGCGAATAGTAGTCTTTGTAACAGTTCTAGGTAATACTAAAATAATTTCAGCTTGCCCAGCTCCACAATTAACAGTCAACAAAGAAAAAAAAACCCCAAATTGCTCTGGTGAAGGTTGTAGTCAGGGACTTCTCTAAAGTGCTGAAGAGCAACAATGTCATCATGGAGACTATGATATGCCTGATTCAGGCCATGGTTTTTGCAAGAACTTCTATGCATCAGAGAGCTGGACAATGATCAAAGGTGACAAAAGAATTGGTGCCTCTGAGTTGTGGTGCTAGAGGAGAGTACTGAACATACCAGGGACTGCCAAGAGAACAAAGAGATCTGTTCTGGAGAGAGTGAAATCAGGCTGCTCATTAGAGACAAGGATTTTGAAGCCCCATCTCATAAACTTTGGGCATGTGGCCAGGAGTGACCAGTCCCTGGAGAAAGACATCATTCTTTGAAGGGTAGAGGGACAGTGCAGGAGCGGAAGATCTCAGGTGAGGTGGATTGACACAGTAACTGGGAAAATGGGGGTAAGAGTGTTGGAGACCGTGAGACTGGCTTAGGATAGAGCAGAGTTCAGAACAGAGTGCATAGGGTTGCTATGAGTCACAGGAAACTTGATGGCACATAACAATAATTATACAACCTAATGCATGAGAGTGATTGTATGAAGCACAATGTGAATGAATAATAAGAAACACAATATATATGAACTTTGTAAGCAAACTAATTAGAAAACAATGTAATTTTTATAAAGGACCTAACAACAACAATATTAAAAGCCTAGATTGCCCTAAAGAAACTGTGGATCTATGCATATCAAAGGCAATTCTGGTGAGAGCTAAGAAAGAAATGAAGTGAGCTTTATACATCAGAGATAGTGTAGATGGCAAAGAGCAGCAACAGTGAAACATTAACAGTAGAACCAGGGTATCAGTGGAAGGCAATGTGAAGCTGACACATGTGAGAGAGTAAGAGAGACAAGTGCTTTTGGTTATGAAGCTCCTTGGCAGAATGCTCCACTGGGCACTTGATAATAAAGTTATACTTGCCAACCTACTGAGAAGAAAGCTGAGCACTTTGGGGCCAAGGCTTACGGGTGGAGTGGAATACCTTGGGCCATTTACCGCAGAGTTAAAAAACTTTATACCCATTGTCCAAACAAGGCAGAGGCAAAGCTGGCAAGGGATGAGAGGCCAAGGAACCAGGAGGCAAAAGCTAAAGGGACAAGGAGCACAGGAAGCAGAACTGCCTTTATTTCAGAAGGAAGGGACACAATCTCAGAGATCTCAAAGAGTGAGTTTACAGCCTCCTAGATTTCAAGTGCTCATATCTTTACCAACTTTATGAAGCTGCCATTCATGGATGCCAGAAGAATAGTCTAGATCCGTTTGGGAGCCATAGGAGCAGTGAGCTCTGAGAACTGGTGGAAGCTACCAGCTGAGTCCCAGCCAGAAACCACAAGCCAAG